ACACACACACAGAAAAAAAAACCTCAGCACAGTGCCTTTAACCACTTTGATGTTCATATTTGTAGAGAAGTTGTATTAATTATGGTGGATTTCTATTAAGAAGTTGAAAGAAATTTTGTTTGGATGCAATAGATAACCTGAAACCTGAAAATTACTGGCAATTGCTTTTATTGTACCATCATTGTGATTTTTATCGTCAGCTACGACTCAGCAGATGCCTATTGTCGGGCATTAATGTTATTTCTAATCCTCACTGCAACTCAGCAATGACCTAGGATTATCCCCTATTTTCCAGATGAAGAAAATGAGTCTCAGAGAATGGAAGTAACTTGGCGAAGATCACACAGGTAGTGAAGAGCAGAGCTGGGAATTCAACCCAGGCCCACCTTACTTCAAAAACCTGTGCTGTTTCCATTAGCACATTTTTTTCAAAGCACTTTCACAACTATTATCTCATTCGTACTGCACAGCAAAAAATGTGGGGTTGGCAGAGCTGAGTATACTCCCTTGTCAGCACCCCCATCCACTGCTGCACTCCCGTCAGCACACTCCAACCCTCCTGTCCAGTCAGTCCCCCTGAGGGTCCACCACGACCCCCTTTAGCAGTCTGCAACCCTACAGAGACAATGCCACCCCCACTGCCTGATTAAGACCTTTACTGATAAGCCCAAGCATTAGAGGATAGTCTCCTATCCTGTGATTTTGAAAATGCTGAAGCATAAAATTAAATTGTATCTTTAACTGACCAAAATGTACACATGCTGAGTTTTTAAGCTTCTTTCTAGATTTTCTTTTTTTGTAAATTACTTATATATATTTTTTATTTTAAAGGTTTTTTAAAAGATATTATTTACTTATTTTTAGAGAGAAGGGAAGGGAGGGAGAAAAAGTGGGAGAGAAACATCGGTGTGTGCTTACCTCTCACACACCCCCTATGGGGGGACCTGGCTCACAACCCAGGCATGTGCCTTGACTGGGAATTGAACCAGCCATTTGGGTTTGAAGGCTATTGATCAATCCACTGAGCCACACCAGCCAGGGCTCTTCCTACATTTTCTCATACCATCTTTCTTTCTCTCCTCTTCCCTACCCTCCCTCCACTCTTTTTGCCCCTCCCTCTCTCTGTTTTTCTCCCCTTTCCTCTCTCTCTTTTGCAAGCTGATGCCACCAGCTTGGACTTAGTCTGCTTTCTGGGTGAACCAACATTGGCAAACCCCAGAGAGCAGGGCTCCAGGAAGGTCCGGATCCCTACAAAAAGTACAACCCGCAGGATGGGGGTTACAGCAAAGACCCCCTTCTCCTCTGTTAGGTTGTGAAGATGGTTTCTTTTTCTTTTTTTTAAAGATTTTATTTATTTATTTTTAGAGAGGGAAGGGAGGGAGAAAGAGAGAGAGAGAGAGAAACATCAATGTGCGGTTGCTGGGGGCCGTGGCCTGCAACCCAGGCATGTGCCCTGGCTGGGAATCGAACCTGTGATGATTTGGTTCGCAGCCCGCGCTCAATCCACTGAGCTATGCCAGCCAGGGGAAGATGGTTTCTTAAGCCCTTGGCTAGGGCAGCCTGGTCAGTACCTCAGGGTTTAGTGAAATGATTAAGAAACTCTGGTAACACTAGAAGCTCTAGCAGGCCAGTCTTATAAGGAAACAAAATATAGGACCACCTGAGTGATATGATCTGAAGGATGTCAAACTTGTCCGCTGTCCCAGAATATCTCTACCCATAGAAGGGCCTTGATGTGGCTACAGCCTTTCAGAATGTCATATGAACACACAAACACCCCCAAGAAATTTCCTTCCAAATTCTATGAGTTCGTATCTCAATAAGGATACATTTTCCCAAAGTGGCAGCTGATCAAGGGGAAAGGCCACCTGAGTAGGCACAGGCCAAGAAACAAAATGAGATGTTTTGTTGAGTTGTACACGTGAAACCTGTATGGTTTTGTTAACCACTGTCACCCAATACATTCAATAAAAAAATAACCTCAAATAAACTGAGAAGATGGTAAATGTTATAAAGGGAGAGAAAAGGCTGACACACGTCGACTCCTTCAGAGCTGCACTGGGGTGGACCCTGCTTCTATTTCACTACAGGATGTTCTGGATCTCAGGCATATGAGTGAGGGAAATTCTTGGAAAGTTTTGCAACTTCTAATGGGCTGGGGAGCTCATGCTGTCCCAGCACTGTATGGTGTTGATGGCAGTGAAAAGTTTCAATGTGTGCTAAGCACATTATGGGTTAAACTTATGAACATTCATTCTGCAAGTCTAATGTAACTAGAAGAATAACAGGTTGAACAAAATACACACTGGGGTGGGACTGCCCCTGAGGGGTAGTTGGGCACTGTGCCAGGGACCTGTGGAGTAACCTGTCCTGTTGACTTTTCTCCAGGGTGGGAAGAGGGAGGAGTAGGAGCTTCCGTCGCTTGGAGATGCAGCCCACCCAGCTTTCGGGAGGAAGACCCGGGCAGAGACCCCAAATGTCTCAGATTGTGCATGTGCCGACAAAACAAAACGATGAATCTTGCTGGAATGTACGAAATGGAATTTTATCTTAGTTAACCTTTCCCTTCCCTCTCCCCTAAGCTAACAATCAACATGTGTAACTTACTGAGAAACCGAGCATAACTGCTCTCTTTTTCATATCTGTTCACTGAATGTATTTGTCTTCTCTTTTTCCTTAAAACTGTATTTGCCCAGTTAACAACACCTCATTCATTTAAACTGCTTTCATGACCAGTCAAAAGGCTGCATACGTTTGATTGTGTTGTGAGTATAGGAAGGATCAGAGTGTAGGAGAATCATGGTGAGAGTTTGCATGTGATTCCTCTCCTTTTCCTACTTGAGTAATTCAGGATATTAAAACTACTTTAGGCGTTTTGACAGAAAGTCAGCGTAGCTCTTTCTTTCCACTCAGAATAATTCTCTATGCTTAGGCAGTTTGGAACTTGTATTTATGAACACTGAATTTGGTCTTTGCTCTTTTGCCGGGGATGAGAGGGGATGAAGGGGCCCCCATGTTTACCCACTGGGTAAATAGACCTGTAGGCGAGGCACTGTTCAGTGCTTTGGTCCGTGGACGTTTTAAACATCTATCTTGGCTGCTCCATAATCCCCTTGTTCATCATCTCATCATCCCCGCTTAGGTGCCGCCAGTTCTTATTCTAGAGTATTATTTGGTAAAGTAAATCATCCATAACCCAGTCAAGAAGAAAAAAAAAACCCCTCTGAGTGGGGAAAAAATCAATGCCGTAAAGTGCATGCACTGTAGATTTCATCATAGGCAAGTGTCTGGTCAGCCCTACACAATTCCAGCAAGGGTACCTATCCATTTTCCAATTCACAGGTAGTTAGAAAGAAAGTGAGATTACTGTGGCTTCTTCTTATTCTTCTTATTAACATTTATTGGGTACTACTAGCTGCTAGGAAGTGTGTTAAATCTTTTCCAAGCATTATTTCACTAAATCTTTGCAACAATTCTATAAAGTACAATTAATAGTTCAATTTTACAGTTTCATACACTGAGTTTTAGACTAAGTTTTCGAAGGACTAAATAATTTGCCAAACTTATATATACTTCTGAGACACAGGCATACAAATAACCGTTTCGTAAAGGGCTGTATGACAGCCTAATAACAAAAAGAGTAAATAAAATACAAAAGGAAAATAAATTACAAGAAGTTGGAAAGCATAGCAATTCGGAGATATTGAATTTGGAGACGGGCCACTTTATACCTCTCCCAGCTTTTAGAAGGTAACATGGTGTTACAACACAGGAAAGGAACTGGTTTGTGTAAGTGTGACCCCAAACCATTAACAAATCAATTAAATTATGTTCAAAATCACTTACTTAAGAATGGAGAAAGAAGTGTAGTCCTTGCTATAAATATTTCTCTGATTTTCTTTCATTGGTAAGGTAAATATCCACTGTGTGTTTTGGATTCTCCAAGGGAAGTCTTCAGTTATCTGAAAAATGCACATAAATAGAACACGTTATTCCCTGATGATGGCCGTATTTTTATGTGTGGTGTTTTTCTAAAGAATAAAACATTAAGAGGGAGGAAGGAAATATAACCTGATTTGCAAAATATTTTCCTTTTCTTTTCAAAGCCTCTTCATTCGGCTCCGGCTAGTCCAGCCTGTCCATTTGCTGTGGTTTGGGCATATTCCACCACCAGGGTTTATCCTATTATGCTGACTAATGTGGAACTGACCATTTTTAAAGGCGACCTGGGAGCATGACTGACTTGATCTGTGGCTTGAAGTGGCCAAAGACAATCCCCAACCCCACTCTTTACTGGGCTTAAAACAGCCGCCTCTGAGCCTTAACCTAAAATGGCCAAATGGTCCATGGCCAGGGGGTGCCTGGGATTTGCCATGAGAAGAGAAGGTGAGATCTTGCTCAAGGTTAATTCTCAAGTGCCCAGCCCTTAGCGGACACCTGAGCGCTGCCTAGAGCCCCCGAGAGGCCCTAGGGAAGACAGGAAACCTGGGCTAAGGCATTCAGAAGGAGCCTGGGACCCTGCACATCTGCTACAAGTACCCTTCGACAAAGTTGGCCTCATCCACCGTCTTATCCTATTATATGTTGCCTAGATCTGTCCATGGTAACATTTCCAAGAAAACATTGCAGGGAGGGACCCTAGGGACTGAATAGGTGGGCGGGGGAAGGGGCCGGGGGGGCTGCAGGCTGCTCTCTGAGTGAGAATTAAACAAACAGCCCAGTGTGGATAGAGTGAGGGGAGGTTATATGAGACAGACATAAAAAATTAAAGTCCCAAACCACTGTGGTCATTCAGAAATGTTTGCAACTTTTCACAAGGGCAGTGGTATTACTCCCAATTTCCTGGCCAAATATTTATTAATGTAACCAAGGAGTGAGTACATGAGGCTGTCTCACATCGGCGCAGCATCCTACTTTCCTTGCGGCTCTAAACTGTGAGGTACTGTCAAAAAAAACTCTTCCACACTCAAAATAGCTACGTTACAGAGGAGAGTTGGAACGTGTTCTGGGAGTGGGTGTGTTTGTTTGAGTTCAGTGTGTGCAGAAAAGGCAAAGCCTCCACAGCCATTCACACACTCCCCTCCTCAGCGATGGGTGCGCAGACAGCAGAGCTCCTGGACTAAGTCTCTGAATGGTAACGTACATTTATAAAGATTATTTTCTTAACTATTTTGAGCCATTTTATAAATAATATGCATGTGTCTGCTAACGCATATACACATATATATTTAGGCAACGATTGCTTGTTTTCTCCTGTGGCTGGTCTTGTGCGGTTACTTACGGGGTATGATTTCTGAGGTGTCAGAACGAGCTTCCCCCCCCCCCACCTCCTACCCCAGCCACCCAAAAATATCTCTTGGGTTGGCCCACCACAGAGCCTAAAATTCCCACAGTGCTCGAATGAGTTAGTCATTGAAAGCAGCTGTTAAAATCCAAGTGTCACACTGAGAAATGAAGCAGACATTAGAAATTCAAGACTATGTAAAACAGAAAAGAGTATGGAGAAATTGTTTCTAATATCATGTTAAGTTTCAAAAGGAGAATGCAAAATGACATGCACCGTCTGGGTCAGATGCTGTTTGTAAAATGTCACGGGGTCAGAGCCGGCATCTAGGACCCAGCTCGTAAATATGAGCCTACGGTAAAAAGAACCCAGCACTGTCGGGCAGCCTTTGTTCTGATTTATTCTGAATGAGTGCTTTCCACAGTTTCTGATCCTCAGATCCTACTCTCTTCACAGTGTATCACGAGATACCTCCCTCTGCCGCTCCCCAGAGGCTCCTGTTAATCAACCTTGGCAGGGCCCACAACCCCACCTCCTGGAAAACTCAAGGAGCCTGACATCTGCCCGTGACGAGCTCTTAGAGAGGCCTCACAAGAGCTCACGCAATCTCTCTTGGCAGCAAACTGCCCAAGCAAGCCCATTTCCTCAAAAGATGGTGGAGGACTTTGCAGCCTCCTATATTGCTCTGAAACTAGAGAATGAAATTCTGCAGGCCCGGGTGCAGAGGCTGATGGAAGAAAATGCTGCCCTGCAGGCCCAGATCCCAGAGCTCCAGAAGCCCCGAGCAGCCACCCAGGAGCCCGCCAAACCCTCAAAGCCCCCCGATCCCTCAGCATCCTGGGACCCCCCAAACTCCCCAGGGTTTGAGGAGTCCCAGAAGCCCAGAGAGCCCCAGGCACTTCCAACTGCCCAGGGGCTCTCATCGGCCTGCGAGTCTCAAAAGCCTCCAGAGCCTACGGAGCTTGAGAAGCCCCTGATGGCCCTGGAGGACCACAAGCTCCCAGGAGTCAAGGAGGCCCAAGAGGCCCCTGATACCAAAGATGCCCCAGAGGCCCAGGAGGCCCAGAATTCAGGGCTGCGGGATCCCCCAAATGCTCAGGAGCCCCAGGAGACACCAGAAGGCCAGGAGACCTCAGCATCCCCGGAGCCCCGTGAGCTTCAGGCTCCCCAGGAACCTCTGGAGTCTCACTTGCCCCAGGAGCCCCTGGAGGGCCTAATAGCTGTTGAGACACCAGCCGCTTCCGAGTTGCTACAGTTCCCCAGTGGGTTAGAGGCCGAAGCCTTCCCCTTAGAGTACCCTTTGCCCTTCAAGGGGAAGGCCCCGAAGCTGCCCGAGGGCCTGGTTCAGCTGAATAGTTACGTGAGAGTCAGAGGGCACCTGTATCCCACGGAAGCAGCCTTAGTGAGCTTTGTTGGCAACCGCTTCTCAGGTGAGGCGGGAAGGTGGTTCCAGCCCTTAGTAGAGATTCAAAGCCCCCTGCTGGAGCAATTTGAAAGCTTCATACAAGTGCTCCAGGATGCTTTTGACAATCCAGAAACCGTGGATGATGCCAACCACCACTGCCGTCAGCTTTGCCAGGGGGAGGACCCTGTCCACCAGTGTGTGACCCACTTCCACCTCATCGCTCAGGTGCTGAACTGGGATGAAAGTAGCCTCTGCATCCAGTTTCAGGAAAGGCTTGCTAGTTCCATCCGAGATGAACTGTCTCAGACAAGCCCAGCCACCAACCCCTCTGATGTGATCACCCAGTGCAGCAGCCTAGAAGAGAAGCAAAGCGGTAAGCCCGATGTCAATGCAGAAGGGGCAAATGCCTCTGAGGAGAGAGCTGGGCCCGAGAGTCCGCCAGCTGAAAACAGACCTGTGCAGGATGCAAGCAACCGCCCACACCTCAGTGAGGCTGAACGGGCGCGCCGCCGTGTTGGCCACTTGTGCCTCTACTGTGGTCATCCTGGTCATTTTGCCAGAGATTGCCCTGTCAAGCCTCATCGTGCCCAGCAGGCGGGAAACTTCGAGGCCCGGCGGTAAGGGGGAACCCGGGCGGGCCAATCTACAAATACGCATCCCCCTCACTTCCAATATCCATGTCCCGTACCCTATGGCTTACTGTTGAAATTCGACTGGGAAGACGACAATTCTTCGAGCAAGCGATGGTGGATTCAGGCTCCTACAGGAACAGCATTGACCATTCCGTGGTCCTTCGAGAGAAGCTGCCCATCCGCAATAACATCTTCCCTCTGATGCTCGAAACAGTAGACGGACGTCCACTGATTAATGGACCCATAACTAAGGAAACACCACCTGTCGAAGTTAAAATTGGAAACCACGTCGAAGAGCTCCAGTTTGATATTATTCATGCACCACGATACCCTCTGATTCTTGGAATCCACTGGCTTGAAACGCACGACCCAAACATAGAGTGGAGTACCCGCACTGTGTCCTTTCCATCTCGTTATTGTCATTACAACTGCTTCAAGCACAGGTGGAATAGAAGACGTCGTGATGAAATAATTGCTGGGTAGATCCTGTGTCCTAGTGACTGCTCCTGGCAACCTGTCTTCTGTTACCTCAGCTGTCATCAGCATTTGCTGCTTCCAGAAACTTCCACTGAATCTCTGGCAATGAACAAAGGCTACCTGTACAACGACCCTGCCTCTTGGATCATGGACTGAACCTGACGAATTTGAGCTGCTCTTCTTTCACCAAAACTGCATGCCCCTTTCTTTTGAACCCTGCATTGCTGTGGGGCTGTTTTAATTACAATTTATACTAACAATATGCATGAGAATAGATATTAGAAACTAACATGGAGAAAGTATACTTGTTAGACTGACTTTATTTTTTTTCTTATCAAGATTTTCTCTAGCACAACAATATATTTCCAATAAAAAATAAATCTGCAAGTGGTATTTTTTTAAAAATCAATAAACCTTGGCAATTTCTACTGGTGTTTGAATTATTTCTTAGCTCAGCAGAGGGAAGAGGATAGGGATAAGTAAGTTGGGAGGAAATGAGGGGATTAGAAAAGGCTAAAAGTTTGGAGGAGGTCCTAAATATCCCAGGGGTAGTGATGGGTCACTGGGTAATGGGGGCAGGGAGAGATGGAGACAGTAGGAGATTGGCTGGGGTGGAGGGAGATGCGGTGAGGTAGGGGGGGTCGGGGTGGGGGGAAGGCTGGGAAGAGGGTTTGTGGGAAATTGGTAGGAGGCTGGAAAGGGTTCAGAGAAGGGTTTCGGGTTCTCAGGGCAAGGGTGAAGGGAGGGGGAAGTTTCTACAAAAGTAAAGGGAGAACTCACAGAGCCATTGAGAAGCTTTAAAAAAACAGGATTTTTATTTTAATTTTTACATTTTAAAAAAAATATTTTATTTATTTTTAGACACAGGGGAAGGGAGGGAGAGAGAAAATCAATGTGTGGTTGCCTCTTAGACGCCCCCCACTGGGAACCTGGCTGCAGCCCAGGCATGCACCCCAACCGGGAATCAAACTGGCAACCCCCTGGTTCGTGGGCCGGTGCTCAATCCACTGAACCACACCAGCTAGGGCTAATTTTTTAATTTTTTGAATCATAATATACTTTACTGTATTTTTCCCATGGCGATTTATCCCCCTATATCTTCTTCCACTTCCATCCACCCCCTTTCCCCCTCGCAAAACCACCCCATTGTCCAAGTCCATAAGTTATTTCTCTTCTTTTTCTTTTTTCCTCCACCCCTTCACCCCCCAACCCCCACCCCCTGGGCTGTCAGCCTGCTCTCTATCTATGAGTCTGTCTCTGTTTTGCTTGTTAGTTCAGTTGGGTCAAATGAATACTACACAGCTGTAAAATAGAAGAAAAATTTTACCTTCTGTGGCAGCATGCACAGCCTTGGAGAACATTATGCTGAGTGAAGTAAGCCAGTCAGAGAAAGACAAGTACCATATGATCTCACTCCTATGAGGAAATTATTGGGCAGCTTTGAAAACAAACTTCTCAGACTTTCTAAGGTAAACAAACAAACAAACAAACAAAAAAGACACTGGCGAGGTCAATGAGACCGCTCAGTGACCCAGCTATCCCATGAGGTGACAAGGTCTTATTCCTTGCACCAGAGGATCTGCCCTAGAGCTCATGCCTGTTAACCTGCTTGTGCCGGTGCGTAGGAGTTGGATGGCAGGAATCAGCTCCAACACAGGCAGATCATTAGTAGTCCGCTGTGCCTTTCCTACATACACAGGTGGCCATACTGCTTGCATGACACACAGGAAAAGCCGGGTCAGGGAAAGGAACACACGTCCTTATGGACATGAGAGGGGCTAGTGTCGTGTATTCACTTAAATCTCACTCACACACACACACACACACACACACACACACACTGTGGGGTAGGAGAGATGGAGGGGCTTCAATCTCTGGGTGAGATATGGGGAGTGACCGAGGCAGGCAGACTCCAGTGCATGTCCTCTGTGTTTTCAACTCTCCCTTAGGAGTGTCTTTGAGGCCACTTGAAGGAGATTACACAAATGATCCAGTACATGGTTGTTGCCCTACAAGGGGATAGGCGAGGAGCTTACCATTCAGCGAGCTGCTAGTATATTTCTGCTACAATGTCAGGCGTGTTATACAAATTAATTATGTCATTACTCCCCAGAATGAGCCAGTGAAGTAGGTATGTTTGCTTCTATTTTAGCCATGAGCAAACAGAATTCCAACAAGGTCAAATCACAAAGCCAGTAAGTAAGTGGCGGAGGCCTATTGGGCCTCCAAAGCCTGAGCCCTTTCCCCTACACCATGCCAATGTCCCTAATGCAGTGGTGAGGGCCAAACAAGATTGTGGCAGCTCAGAGGTAACCCTGAAAATGAGGGGGAAAAAACAAAAAGAAAAATTGTTAAGGACCATTTGGCTTGTAATTCTGTTTGCTCAATTCCCTTGATCTCAGTCGCAACCCCCTCACCATCTCATTCACCCCCAAACTTACCTCTATCTCTTGGAGGAGTTCTTCTTGTTTAACTGATGGCACGACCCCATTTCAGATTGCATGGTATTGTTTCACAAGAGTCGGACATGCAGTAATAGTCAGTGACCAGTAGGGTCTGTGCCTTTTTATCTAGAAGCATGTGCATCACCCCTGGGATTGTCTCCTTACACTCTTCGATAGCCAATCTCCTGTGCTGGACACCTGAATCGAATATAAAACAATACCAAATGTAAACTGCAATTGAAAAATATAAAAAGAAAAAAGTAAACATACAAATATAAAAACATTAAAAACATTAAGTAATCCAAATCCTATATAGCTTTTTTTAAAGATTTTATTTATTTATTTTTAGAGAGGGAACAGAGGGAGATAGAGAGAGAGAGAGAGAGAAACATCCATGTGCGGTTGCTGGGGGTTATGGCCTGCAACCGAGGCATGTACCCTGACTGGGAATCAAACCTGCGACACTTTGGTTCACAGCCCGCGCTCAATCCACTGAGCTGTGCCAGCCAGGGTCCTATATAGCTTTAAATTGTACCTCTTCTAGTCCCTGTTAGCCTTCCCTTCCTCCATGAACAATGTAACATATTTTGCCATGACACACCACCACCTTGTGGTGTGCGGGTACCTTTCCCAAGATAGATGTCCTACATCCCCCGTCTCCAGCCCTCACACAAAAACACATAGAGATAGACCCTTCCATATCCCTACCCTCGATAGCATAGCCTAACATAAGTCCTGTTACTTAAAAGTTCTCCACAGCAACTGGTGCAATGACAGCGAGTTACCCTTACCCAGAGAAGGGTGCTCATTTGTATATTATGGGCTCTTCTTATTGTTTGTCCTTTCAGTCGCTCCTCTGTACCCTTAAGAGCAAGCACTATTTGTCAATGCAGAATTCAAGAGAACACAAGGACATGGGGACAAAGCCAGAGGGGGGTAGGATCGAGGGTGGGAGGTGGGGATGGCTGTGGGGGGTGAGGTTGGGGGAAAATGGAGACCACTGTACTTGAACAACAATTTTAAAATATTTTCAATAAAAAATAAATATGTACAGTTTTTGCATATGTGAAAAAAGAGGACAAAAGCTTTCAGCAGCGACAAAGAAAAAAAATATCATTTCTTTGTCAAAATAGTTGGAGTCAGGGAGACTGACTGTGTCGATTTCCTTTGAACTAAGAAGATTCCCAGTGCGCAGGACTCTCAGTGTTGACACTGGGGCAGTTCTGAGAAAGCTGAGATGGCTGGTCAGCCCACCTGAGTCCTACATTGTTCTATCTAGCTATAGAGGTTCTTTGACTATGGTGCAAGCCATTATTTCATGAAAAGAATCAATTAGCTCATCACAGAATCACAGATTTTGTTCGTTTTCAAAGACTTAAGAAGTCTGTCCCTTTCATCTCGCAAAGGAAGAAGCTGAGGAGCCCCCCAAAAAGGAAAGCTACTTAATGTACTGTTATGCCAGTCTCCTGACTCCTTATCCAGTGCTCTTTTCACCATAAACCACACTTCTAATCCAGTAGTTAAAAATCAAGGATGTGCCCTTGGCTAGTGTGGCTCAGTGGATTGAGTGCAGGCCTTCGAACCAAAGGGTCACCAGTTCAATTCCCAGTCAGGGCACATGCCTGGGTTGCAGGCCAGGTCTCCAGTAGGGGTGTGGGAGAAGCAACCACACATCAATGTTTCTTTATCTCTCTTCCCCTCTTTAAATAAAATCTTAAAAAAAAAATCAAGTATGTGGCCAGCACCAACCTAGATACTGTGGAGAGAGACTAAAGTACAATGAAACATTTATTCACAACGTGCTCCATGAGAAAAATTAGCAGGAATTAGACCATTAGACAGCTAGCATAGATAATCAAAAGTGTGGTGGTAACAAAGACACCAAAATGAAACAGTGCACAAGCTGATGACACTAACAGTGATAACTATCCATCAATAAGCACCTGGGTTTTGCCAGATACTGCACTTGCTGCTTCAGGTCTTTTCAACTGTCTGCAAGGTAGATATTATTAGCCCCAGGGTCTAAATCAAAGCAGTGAAGCCTGCTGAAGTGAGTTCACTCACCAAAAGTCACACTACTAGGAA